TGTGTAAATGCTTGTCAAAATATGGAGTAATGTATTTCACTGTGTCTCTGTTTTGTCTTTCGAAGAAAATGCCAATACCTTTATTTTTTCAATAATAATTTTAGGGAAAAATTAGTCATTTGATCCTTCAACTTTTAATTCGGTTATGACTTAGTTTCTCAAGTTTAGCTTGTTGCGACTTAGTCCTTGAGCTTTAATCTATTAATAATTTCATCCTCACTGTTAGTTAAACTGGTGTCATCAACGGTGTTAGCAAACTATGTTTTTGCTTTTAAACAGTGCTCTAAAAGCATTCAAGTGTTTCTCTTCTATGCAAGCTCCCTCTCCGGTAACAATGACGATACCCTGGCTCCTCAGATTCTTCATTTGCTTGTTCCTTATTCTTCATTTACTCCAAGCCTGAAATAAAAAGAGACACACACACGGACACAAGCCTCTCTTTGACCCCTTGATCATTAGATTTCGCCTCCTTTGCTTTCTTCGTGAAAAGGAAAAGGTACAGACTTGAATGTCCAAATTTAAAGAGTGTCAATCAAATAATCAAACTAAACCAATTTTGGGAGCTTTCACAGTAAAGGAAATGAAACTCAAGAAACCCACTCCAATCCCACCTGCCTTAATAAATTACAATAGAAGATGATGAAAGTTTTGTGGTGATTCTAACAAGTGTTCCTAAAGGAGAGTATGAAGAAGAGGAGAGAGGATCACTCCAGTGATTAGTTCTTGACAGAGCCGAGGTGAACTAAGCAAATTCTTTGCAGCATGAACAAACTATCACGCCACATTAAACAACCTAGCAAATATTGTGAAGGTGGGTACTCTTAATTCGATCAGCTCCTGGGTTCCATAAGAACAAAGATGAAATATCCATGGGGACCATGAAGTGTGTTCCATTAGAGAGAGAGGCTTCTGTATTTTTTTTTCCCAAGACTTGGAGTGAATGAAGGAGGAGGAAAATGTGAATAAAGAATTTGGGTAGCCAGGGGCCATCGTCCTTGATGTCAGAGATGAAGGGAACGTGCATAGAAGAAAGAGAAAGACCTGAATGCTTTTGAAGCAGTGTTTAACCGCAAGAACACAGTTTGTAAAAACCGTTGACGACACTAGTTTAACTAATGGTGTGGATGAAATTATTAAACAAACCAAACTTAAGGGAATGAGTTGCAATGAGTTAAACTTAAGGGATTGGGTCATAACCGAGTTAAAGTTGAAGGATTAAATGATTAATTTTCTCATAATTTTATCTTGGGCAAAGCGTGTGCTCAAAATTATGTAAAACTGATTCTTTTCAGACTACCCTCAGGTGTGACGTGTCCAATCTTGCTATAAGCGGGTGGGAATATCCAGACTTTCCAGCTGTCGTCATTTATGTTCATATTGTATGTTCATGATATTTTGTTTATTTTAAACAGGTTAATGATACTGTTGGGACATTAGCACTTGGACATTATCATGATGTAGACACTGTTGCTGCAATTATAATTGGCACTGGTACAAATGCCTGTTACGTAGAACGAGCAGATGCTCTTATCAAGTGTCAGGGTCTTCTTACAACATCTGGTTGCATGGTAACACTTTTCCTCCCCTTTTCTTCGTAACATATCAATGTATAATCCATCATTACTTAATCAAGTTTTTTTTTCCTTTCTTTTTCTTTTTTGGGGAAAATCCTTCTCTTTGTTTGTTAGGTTGTCAATATGGAATGGGGTAATTTTTGGTCTTCCCACTTGCCAAGAACTTCTTATGACATTGATTTAGATGCGGAGAGCCCCAACCCGAATGACCAGGTTAGATTTTTGCTTCTCAATTACCTTTTTTTTTTTTTTGGGATATAACATAACTAAAATCTTGGAGATATTGGTGCAGGGTTTTGAGAAAATGATATCGGGAATGTATCTTGGTGACATTGTGAGGAGGATTATCCTCAGGATATTACTAGAGTCAAATATGTTTGGACCAGTTTCTTCCAAGCTTTTAATGCCTTTCATTTTGAGGTTTGTACTATATCTCAATGACACCTCTGAGTCAATAAATTTTTGTTTGTAATTAAATGATTCCATTATCTGATTAGCACAGAACATTCTTTTAGTTGCCCTTGGCCAGTGAAGTTTGTATGAAAATAGGTGGATTTGGAGAGGATGTGTATACCACTGTCCATTGGCCGCACGCTGTTAGATCCGCATCCTGCATCAGTTTGCCTCTAGTCCCCCCCCCCCCCCCAAAAAAAAAAACCCAAAAATGCACCATCAAGTTGTTATTGCGATACTAGTTCCTACATGACTTGTCTGAAACACAGTATTTTTATTTTTGTGGGTATGGTCTTATCGTAATGTGCAACAAACTGGTGAACTAAGGATGTAAATCGGTAAAGGGTATGTATTTTAACCTTTGGCTTTGGCTGAGGTGATATATGAAAGCGAAATATTATGCCACTTCATTTCTGTATGTTCTGAGATCAATTATTTTCTCTTAATATCCTGACCTAGATTCAAGTCTCAACTGTATCTTGGTGCTATATCAGGACTCCTATGATGGCTGCCATGCATGAGGATGATTCCCCTGAATTGAGAGAAGTGGCAAGAATTCTTAAAGACATCCTTGAGGTAAAAACATCTCCTTTATGGTAAAAAAATGAGTGACTTGCTTCAAAGTCTAATTATCATTTTTTTGGGGGATTGGACTCAGATTCCCAATGCTCCTCTTAAGTTGCGGAAAGTCGTGGTGAAGGTTTGTGATGTGGTAACCCGTAGAGCCGCTCGTTTGGCAGCTGCGGGTATCATTGGCATCTTGAAGAAGATCGGTAGGGATGGAAGTGGTGGCGTCACTGGTTTCAGGAGCAGAAGTGATTCAAGAATCAAAAGATCAGTCGTGGCAATTGAAGGAGGTTTGTATACTAGCTATACACTATTTAGAGAGTATTTGCATGAAGGTTTGAATGATATATTGGGGGAAGATGTTGCAAAGCACGTAATTCTTAAAGTCACTGAAGATGGTTCAGGCATTGGAGCAGCATTGCTTGCTGCTTCATATTCATCCTACAATGTGGGATAGGAGGGTACAGATGCTATAAGTATATATATAATATATCATGCATATATATATTCATATAGCCCTGTAAATCAGAATTCGTTTCATATTAATATCTCTGTATAAAGGGAGGTTCTGTCTATTCTTTGTCCTAATGTTGTCTTCATTTATATGATTCTTGCTTTGTTTTTCAACATTGGTGTTCTTTTTACTGGACATTATTTAAAGGGAATCGATCTCCTGTATTAGTTGAGATCGTTTGTATGTAAGCGCAAGCAATTAGGAGTGTTCAATGACATTTTAAGCTTGGAAATTCATTAATATATATTCCTTTCTGAAAGTTCTCTTTCGGCCTAAACGTATTATAGTGTTCTTCTTCAGAGTATGTTTTGGTTTTATGTTGAAAACTATTAAAATCATGTTCTTGATGGAAACAGCTATTTGCCAAGATGCCACTTGTTTAAAAGAACCAACAATATGTTAGGCAAGTTGGCCTGTACCAATTAAATGAAAGGCTTAGGGTCTGTTCACTGAAAAATTAGTTGTAATTTAGCTTCGATATGTGCAAATTGTGTCAGGAGTTCTAAACTTCTACAATGATATGCTCTTTCTATTCAATTTTTCAATTTAATTCAATATTTTATCTTCATTTTTTGGCGTTGATTTTATCTTTATGAAAAAATGTAAAACACAAGATGTGATTAAAAATTAAGCAAAGCAAAATTTAAGAAACTTGGGAACATAGGTCAAAGAGGAAAATGTCATTAAAAAAAAAAAAGCCAACCATTTACTTGCATTGGTAAGGAAAAAAATCACAAAGTGAGAATTAGGAGAAAAATAGGCAAGCAAACGTCTAATAGAAATTTGGATTTGTGGAATTGAGTTTGAGCATCAAAATTGATGTTAGAACATAAACTTAATATATTTCAAAAGAGAAAGAGAAAAACGGAAAAGCCAAAAAAAAAAAAAAAAAAAAAAAAAAGCAGAAGGAAAGAAAGAGGGTATGATGAAAATTAAATGGATGACTCAGAAAGAGAGAAAGGAGACAGAGATTATGATATGATGATGACAGAGAAAGGTGAAGGAGGGCGGCGATGACAGTGAGAGGATGATGCTGATGGCTACCCTTAACAACAACAAAAGCAGCTCACTGAGTGGCAAATAGTTACTTACTTTTTAATTTTTTTAATTTTAGTTTTGAATCATTTGCTTTGACCTGTCTTTTTTGCCCCACCAATTACTTCCAAATCTCTCCCTGATTTGATTTGATATGTTTTGTTTTGTGTTCTTTTACCTCCCTAATTTATTTTATTACCAAAGTACCCACTACCCATTCCTGACATCCGCCTTCTGACGCAGACAATGACATCAAGAAAAGCCCCACAAAATATTAGTAATACTTAAATAGACTTTTGTCTATTTACTGAAAAAGGTAATAATAATTACTCAAAAAATTGATAATAAAATAATTTCGTATAATTTTTACAAAATATTTTTTAGACTCTTAGATTTATTATAATATTTAAAAAATTATAAATACCATTGACATTTTGTCCCTTGTGTTGTATATGGAAAAATAATTGAATAAATATAAAAAATTGCAAAAGTCACATAAAATGAAAAACAAAAAATTAGTGGAAGAAAAATGAAAACATGGAGCTTAATGCTAATCAAATTACTCAAAATCATAATTATATCAATTACACAAAGAAAGTAGCTTCTTACCTGCAGAATTTTTGGACATTGAAAGTTTAAAAAAATTATTCAGAGCAGATGAATCTTGAAATAATTTTTTGTTGCCCCAACCAAAAAAAATCTCTAATCGCCACCTCTCTCCCCAACATTATTAATAGAACTAGCCTCGGCATGTGCTTTAATCATGCTGATACCCAACTTCAGTCACATCTACAAGATATATTCACCCAAAAAAGCCTTCGAAAAGAAATAAGACAAGAGAGAAAAAGAGAATCCAATGCATTTTAAGGTGTACGGTTAATCATCAGCTAATTTGACTAGGAGAACCAGAGACTGTTTTTCTAGTGATTTAAGTTTAAATGCTTGAGATAAAAAACTCAAACTAATCCAATCCAAACACCAAAGAAGAATTAAAAAGCACCACAATTGGAGGTGTTAGGAATATTTTATATCTGTATCCGTGCTTCTTAGATTTTCCATAAACTATAATTAGGAGGAGACAGCTTCCTTACAATCATATGTTTCACTGGTTTCATCTTCATGAAAGCTTGGAGCTTTGGGAGTGAGTCCGAGTACTTTGAACATGAGTTGATCAGCATCAAAATCATTGTTAGGTGTCGTGAGAAGCTTTTCTCCTGTGAATATAGAATTGGCCCCAGCAAGAAAACACAGTGCTTGCTCAGGCATGGAGAACCGAACTCTTCCTGCTGACAACCTCACCATTGCTTTTGGCATAACGATACGCGCTGTGGCAATCATGCGAATCATCTCCCATATCTCAACAGGCTGAAACCAAATAGAAATGTACATTTGTTAGCAGATTCCCAAGGGAAAGTTTGAGTTTAGAGCATCTTTGGATGATAGCACCAACCCAAGCACGGTTTAAAAGGATATGGATATTCCTGTGCCCAAAAGGCTGTACTTGGACCAAAACACAAAAACACAAAATTTTAAGGTAGACCCATTGCCTATGCATGGATTAGAGGATAATGGAAGAGAAGGAAAGGTTCCGTCAAAACATGTTCCTTGTTAGGGTTATAATTTAGAAGTGGGGAATAGGATCTTTCTAACTATTCATTCCTTTATCAAGCTCCTCAACGAGGGAGATTTTAAAGGAGAAAATTCCCCTAAACAAGGGAAAGTGAAATTATCATTTAAGCATCACTTACCTCTTCCGTTTTCCTTGAATTTCTTCTCTTCCCAACTTCTAGACTTACCCTTACGTTTTAGCAGTTACGAGGAGAGGAGAAGAACAAGTGTACATGGAAAATGGAGGGGAAGAGATCCAAGTTTCCCTTCCCCTTGTTTGGAGAAGCTTTCACCTCCAATATCCCCTAAAATTACAAACGAGGGAGAGTTTTGGATGTATTTGGGGGTTCAGTTGAGAATCCTCCAAACTCCCAATTTCATAAATAGTTCTCAATAATGGAGAGGTTTCAATGAAACTTTCCCTTCTCCATTGTCTCCCATCCAAACATACCCTTAGTGATTGAACACACTCAGATTCTTTACCTTGATTTTTATTGAAACTATAGCACGTGTCAAAATTTCTAAGTTGATTTCAAATGCTTAGGAGCCCAGAAAATCTTACGAGGCATCTCCATATCTAAATAAAGATTTTCATAATAGAAATTCCCAAATTTGCATCTCTGTGCTGCCATGGAAAACTATTGAATATCACTATGGATTAAGCTCCACTGATAACACGTCTCAGTAATTGTTAAAATAGTGATTTTTTTTTAAGGTACAGTTTTGTAGTTTACAAGTCAATCAATGAATTATAAAATTCACCTTCTGCTCCTGAAGTGGGGTGCCCTTTACTGCAACAAGTGCATTGATAGGAACACTTTCTGGATGAGTGGGGAGTGTGGCCAATGTGTGCAACAAACCTACACGGTCCTCCTCTGCTTCTCCAAGCCCTATTATTCCTCCTGTAACGAAACCTCAATGGCTCATCATTTTCTTTCCTCAAAGTTTAAAATCTTCTTACTACATAATATATAGAGTTCCTATCATAGAAAATAAAATTTTTACTATTTTAATGATAAGTAATAAGATCAACAGTTAAAATAGAAAATGTAAATAAAGGATGGAGTCTTTGCAGCCATTGGAAAGAACTGGAGTGTTAAGAAAAATTTAATTGTAAGCTATGAAGAACTGACACAAACACTATGGCCAAAAAAGTTAACTGACACACAAAGGATGCATATTGGCAAAAGCATCTTACTCAAACTGAAATATAAACTTTCCATTGAATGAGGTACAAAGGGAAGCCATATGCACAATTCTATCACATGAACCATTTAAAGACAAAGATGTGCCCTTGAAGATAAGACCACTCCTCTGCAACTAAACCACATTATTGTATTCGAAGTTATTAGGTGTTACCTGAACAAACATTAATCCCTGCATCACGAACAAACTCAAGTGTTTTCAGGCGTTCATCATAAGTCCTTGTTGTGATGATGTTTGGATAATATTCCCTTGAAGTATCAAGATTATGATTATAGGCAGTAAGCCCTGCCTTCTTGAGTTCAACAGCTTGCTCTTTCTCCAGCATACCAAGCGTGCAGCAGACCTCCATTCCCATATCCCTAGAATAAGTGTTACCATTTTGAATTTCGATTAAATAAGTAAGATATACTTCACTACACGTGAGAAATTATAAGTTACACAGCACAAAAGTATAGTGAAGAAGAATCATCAGAGCTGTAAAGTTTTCACAGCTCACACAATGCAAAACTTCACAGTCCTTGCCCTCCATTCTTTATACTGCTTTTAAAAAAAAAAAAGGACTTAACAATGGAAACTAATTCCACAAAGTAAAATATGAAAACAAGATAGGATAGTATGCCTAAGTCCCAATTAAATAGTATGAAATGTTTTATGGGATACTTAAGCAGGTTGATTCTTCCACCTTGAACAGCCAGTTTTCAGGGGAAGGTTTTTGCCCAATTATCAGTCAGTGTCAGAGCTGGTTGTTGGGGCTCCTAGAGAGGGCTGCTTGTGCAGGGTTCCAAGTGATAGGGAAGTTTAGTGAAGTGTCACATAGCGTAGCTCTCAACAAGACTTTGACTCTCCAGGGATCCAATTAATGGAAAAAAAGAAGAAAAGGAAAAAGTATAAGTGCTCTATGGCATGCTTTAGCAGATTAGTTCTCCCACATCAATAGTTAGCTTTTGTAACTTGCGAGGGAAGGTTTCCACTCCGTTTGGTTTCACATCATAAATAACCTAATTTCTAGAGATGAACTAAATAAGTTAAATAAGATGTAAATTAAATATTTCTTGACTAATCACTCCCTAAGCGCCACCAAACAAGAACTTTAGGGGTGTTTGGTTGTGTCATTGAAAACTAAGAACATGTACGTAATATTATTATATTCTTGTAATCATTACTCAATTGTCGATTATTTTTTTATTATTTTCATTTAGGGGCATAAAAGATATTTGTCATTTATTAAATTATTTTCTGGTTCTGTTTTCCTCCCGATTCGATCTTGTGCTCCGTCCCAAACTGTTCCTAAAAGTATACTCAGATTACCATTCATAGCATCCATGCAATTTAGAGAGCCTGCTTATAATACAAATGAGCAGAACTACAGAGCTTAACTCTATTGGTAGACAACTAGACATCATTTGAAGGAATTTCTTTGACCGCTGTCAAACTCTAGGGTTAAGTCACTATTTGGATTCCTTGAAACTCAAGGTTCAAACTAATTAAACTTGCATGTAAAGGCTGGTCTGCTTGGAAGTTTGACAAGTATAAATTTTGCACATAATTGGGCCACAGTTTGTGTGCTGACAATTGTTTTGTGCAGTGCAACAAAGCATGCTACCTGGACAATATCAAACGACCCTATTTTAAGGGCATTTTTAACCTCTAAGGCTATGTTTGGCTGGAGGAAAAAGTGGGAGGAAAATAAGGGGGAAGGAAATACCAGGCAGAAAAACTTCCAAAAATAGTAAAACATTTACTATTTTAGGGAGTTTTCCCAACTAGTATGCTTTCCTCCCTAATTTTCTTCCCATCCAAACATAGGGTAAACGCATGACTCAGTCACTCAATTCATTTTTCCTCTCATACCAATTACACATCAATTTGGTTCCCCTAAATCTATTCTTCACTTCTGTTCTATCTCTCTCCTTCTCTGATTCCATGGCTCCATTTCCTTCTCTCTGCCTCTAAGTTCTATTATCTTGCATGTTTCTTTCTCCACGCCTCCATGCAAGTTAGAACTGGGGTCATAAAGCAAACTGGCTAGGGAGCATCCCGAGTGTTCAAAGAATTTTAGGAAATAGCATGCTATGCATGAGCTCACACATCATTAGTCACTAGTTATTAGCAAGGGTTTAAAAGAATTCCAGGCCATGATAGCGATTCAGCCACAAGAATGTGATTACAATATACACTTGCACAATAGCTTCCGCTATGTGCTAACAATCTCAAATACTAATTCAATTACATAAGCGTGGATTAGTAGATGTAATTAAGCTGATAGTTTAACCACCATAATGCTTATTAGAAACAAAAGGATTAATAAAGAAAGCTTTGGAGGCTTTGCAATGAAGAAATCCCACTCCATCTTAGTTTTATATGCACGTGCGCGTATTTGCACTCACAATCCTATTATTTTACTTAGTTTTTAATATTAATTTTGAATAGCACAGTTATGTGAACCACATAGTGTTCCAAGTGATGGCTTCGAGACAAGCTATAGCAATATTGCATGATGTGGCATCAACAATTATGAATCTGAACGTGATCCATACACTAAGGGGATGGCATTAATCCATTTTTGCAGACAGAAAATGATCTTGTACATATTTAACATGATGACCCCCCCTGCAATGCACGTAGCAGACACTAACTAAATAGCATTGCCCTTCTGGCATCAGTAAATTTCTGTTCGTTGATACAAGTCATTTTTCCAAACAATGAAGCACTAACATATTTCCCACATAATCCTAATTCCTAACCAATCTACCTGGCAAACAACTATATCAATCTTGTGGGTGACTATATCTCCAGAAGCACACGGCCTTGTCATCCCTTTTCTATCATATTTTTTTCACCATCAAAACTCCACTTTGTACTTAACATACAAAGCAGAAAGAAGACTTAGCAATCAGCTTACACACAACTAACATACAAAGCAGAAAGAAGACTTAACAATCAGCTTAGACACAACGGATCTATTGCTTATTGGTTTAGACGCCTGATAATGTAACATTCCACTACCTTATTTCTTTCACATATTCAAGGATATTATTGAAGTTGGTCTTTCTTCCTATTGTGTCTCTCCATGCAGCACCCATACAAAAGCGTGTGCTACCAGCCTCTTTTGCCTGCCAAGAAAGGAAAAATCATCTACATGTAACTCAAGAAAAAGCACCAAAATACGTGAGTAATCTGGAATAAGCAGTTGAGTTCAAGAACAAGGAAATGATAGTAATATCTGTGTATTATTCTCTAGTTTTGTTATGAAGATACGAAGTTATTTATCTTTAGATGGCTTTGTAAATCATCTTTGCTTCTAGCAGTGTATATTGTAGATAAACTCGATTTTCAGAATATATTAAACATAAGAAGTTTAAAGGGCTAAGAAGTATAGTTAGTCTCGAACAGTTCAACCATCAAAATTTATGATAAATCTAAATTTCCAAAAATTGAATAAACAGATTATAAATATACCTAGAGATTTCCAAACCTTTCTAACTTAACCTCAATAGCATAAATATTTTCTAACCCAACATGACCTTTCGTGTGTCCTCAAACCCATAAAAAGTATTTTACAGTTTTCTAGCAGTCTCATATCTAGATTGATGAGTGAAGTTCAGCAAGTAGCGGTCACAGGAAAAAAAGGATGAAGGAACACCAATATTGACATAAATCAAAGTTAAAAAACAATTGTGATTGCAAAAGTTTCGAAAAAGTGAGTGGTTTCAAGCAAGAACGTAAGTTCTCCACAGGCATAAAGAAAGATATAAACAAGTGAAATCGCAGAACCAGAAGCCGGAAATGTACTGCAATTAGCAAGATGCAAAAGAAATAAAATTTTACCTTCTTTGCAGCTTCTAGAACAGCCTCCTTGTTCATTAGCCGTTGGGCTTTTAGTCCTGTGTGATACCTTGATGATTGAGGACAATATGAACAGTCCTCACTACACCCGCCTGTTTTAATAGACAGGAGAGTACACTGTTGTACTTCCCTGAAGTTATGAGCATGTCTGTGAACCTGAGCCTGATAAAGTATAGGAGTAGTAGCTTCAGTAAAATGCCAGCAATTGGTGTTCAAAACCGGTTAGCAGTCAAGAAGGACAAGCATGTAGATAAAAGTTCAATACATAAAATTGTTAAAGGATAACAATTTTAATTTTGCCTCAGTCTGAAGAATAATTGCTATAAAGCAACCTCAGCTCAGACTCACCAAAAGACTAATCATCTATTAGTGTTTTCATGAACCCAATAAAGCTTCATTAGAGGGGAAAAACCAGGACGTAAAATAAAAGGTGAAGCTTACTCCATGGAAGAGAAGATCGAGTATGGGAGAGTCGTAGACGGATTTTACTTCCTCTCGTGTCCAATCGTTTCTGGAGCCTTCTCTGATAGTCCTCTCAGCTTGAATTGCAGCGGCAGAGGAAGTATAGGAAGAATGAAGCAACAGAGAAAAGAAGGGCCTTTGGTGTGCCCGGAAAATGGGTCTAACGGAGAACATGATTTCCTTACTTCCCAGTTCAATTTAATATCTCAGAACGTGAAGAAAAACAAATGGAGGGATCACAAGTCAAAATGAAAGCCAGTTGAAACTTGAGTTTCGAGCTTCACCTACTGGTTTGTGGCTAAGTGGTAGATTCAGGAAGCGAGGGAAGGCGTTGAGGTGGGATTAGATTGCAAGGGCGTAGTAACGTAGAAGATCTGAGAATTTAAGCGCAGACTGAGGGGCCACACACGGCACCGCTTGCACAAGAGAAGGCAGATGAAGCTCTTCCTTTCTAGCTTCGCAGTGTGGTGGTGATAGAGAAAGAAAAGAAAAGTGAAGGCAAGGGAGCGGATTTATCGAGGCTGAACTACCCGCCCGCCACTTGCCACCTACTATTTTAAATTTTTATTTTTATTTTTGTATTTAAGGAAATTTTGTATTGTTAGGCATGTATTGAGGAATGATTCATCTATGAATTTGCACCTTAACCTAACAAAATCTAATTTTGCAAAAGCAACCTCCTACAGTAAGAACTTTTACTAAAAATCTAATTCAAAGAGCATAATGTTTAAATTTTAAAATTTTTAACTTTTTGTTGGATTGAAGAAGTATTCTGGATCTTTGACATTTACATAAAAAATATTATATGTGTGTGTGTGATTTTGTGTATGTGAATATCTTTAGACACAATTATTCCATGGCAATGTGACTTGTCACAGTGCTTTTAATATTTTATATTGATTTTGATTTTGATTTGATGCTGAATATGAAATGCAATTTTTCATCAAACTGAAATATAAAACCAAATTCAACAAGTACTTAAAAATATTAAATCTATAAAGATAAATAGCTATTAAAAGTGGTAACAATATTCACACCAAAAATAATAATTTAAAGACTATAATTTCTTAAATTCTAAAATTTGATAAGAAAATTAATTCATTTTTGTAACTTTTCTTCGGGTTGAAGAAGTATTCCGAGTGTTTTACAGTTTTATGAAATATTATATCTGAGTATATAAATATCTTTAGCAAGTGTTTGGCAACCCTTAAAAGTGCTTTTAAGAAGCATTTTTCACAAAACGAAATAAACTCCTCTACATATTTATTTCATAAACCGTAAAAATACTTTTAAAATTATGATTTGGTTTATATCCAAATACTCTCTTAGACACAATTTTTGCATGAAGTTTTAATGCTACATGTTTATTTTCTTTGCAACGGAATATACATGATCACGAAGTATTAAAGCAACGTTTTATGCCCTTTACATTAGACAATGAATGATGTTTAGAAAAAATAATTTGATTCAGAGAAAAATTGATTTCTACTATCATAATTTGATTAAACTGAATTAAAAGAAAATAAATAAGCTTAACCGCATGATGGTTAATCAGGGGTTAACTCGCCGAGTTAACTGAGCTTGCATTTTTGTTGATAACAATCAATTCAACTAGTATATAAACTCATTCGTATGGTGTATGGTATATAGACTCGATCAAAATCATTTTTAATTTGGACTAATTTAGTTGACTTGCCGTTTTTTAACTAAATCAGGCAAGTTGATTAATGTTTTGTTATCAACAAAAATGCAAGCTCAGTTAACTCGGCGAGTTAACCCCCGATTAACCATCATGCGATTAAGCTTATTTATTTTCTTTTAATTCAATTTAATCAAATTAAAAACTATTAAAGGCAGCCCAGAACAATGCTTCCATACCCCGTCTCCACCCTTTTTTATTGAAAGCTTCTTGCCTTCTTGTCGTTGTAATTTACGACTCTTATTTATTTTTGTTTGATCTTATTGCCAAATGTGGATAATGAAGGAGTTAAAGCAAGGTGGTAACTTTTGTTCTTTTTAATTGTCTTCCTTTCATTCAAAGTTGTTTTCTAATTCTTTGTAAATTGTGGTTCGCTGCATTTTCTTTTAAAGCTTAACAAACAAGGTTTCAAACCTCCGAGTATGATTAAAAATGCTACAAATATTCATACTATCCATTGTTATTAAAAAAAATTTATAAAAAAGGTCTATGATTAAAAATTGAAGTTAAATTGCTTTTTTTTCTTTTTCTTTTTAATTGGCATTTGAATACTATCAATTATAGAATTCAGATTTTTTTTATTTTAAAGATCAATATAATTTTTTGTCCTCAAAATTTTGACTTATTTTGATTTTAGTATATCAAATTTTAAATATATAGTTTTAATGCTTGGAATTTAACCCGTATTAGAACTTTAGTCTCCAGAAGTGTAATGATATTAAAATTTACTAAAATGTTATAAACAGTATACAAGTGATGATGTGGACTCATTAGATAACACCTAATTAAACCTTGTATAATTAACCTTACTTAAATATTATTTCAACAAATCCCATGACATTATTAAAACCAAAATTTTAAAAATCCCAGAATTAAATTGATTGTAGAATCCAAAATAAAGTAAAAATAAGGAACGAAATATACAAATTAAAAATAAATATATGAAAAAATGGACGAGACAAAGAAGAAAAATATGATAAATGAGGAATTAAATTCAAATGATAAGGTTTTCATGGATTGAGGCAAAAACATCAAAGAAAGATGCATAGGGTATAAATATTTAATGAAATTTTTTATATTCTTTTTTGGGTCCACAATGTTAATTACTATTTCTGATCTTAATTATAAAACTTTATTTATAATTTATAAACAAAATCTTATAATTAGAATTGGAGATAGTAGTTGAGTATATAAACAAGTGCCCTTTTAAGGTTTTTCCTTCTCTAATTTATTGCCTCCGCAAAAGTGAACAACGTGATTATTTTTGGTACTTATTTCTTATTTTTAAATATTGATGTCCACTTCTACAGTTGATGCTTCTCATCACCATTGTTCTAACTTTAAAACTTATTTTATAGGTACACTATAAAACCATAAAGTAAGTCTTGGATTTAGAACATGAAAAGTACTTGTTACGCTTTGTCACTCCAAATGTATAATGAGACAATGCTTGGGGATGTTTGGTTCACCCAAGACATTTTTAAAGAATATTTTTTATAAATTGAAACAAAATTTTTTTATATATTTATTTTATATATCGTAAAATTATTTTTAAAATTATAATTTTTTTTAACCAAACAACCCTCAGTCTAAGATTTATTGAGTATGTACGATGATCAGGTGTTATTTTATTCTTTCTTGGCCAACAATGAGGCTTTAAAATCATTATAGTAACAACACAATTATCTATACGCCCCGCGTGAAAAAATAAATTTAAGTAGGTCTTCTAAATTCCTTTCCCCCCCCCCCCCCATAACAGGTCTTCTGAATTCTATATAACAATAATATATTTTAATAGATTTAATATTTATAAATTTAATTAAAGGATGTCATTTGGCAACTAAATATAAAAATTTAGTTTGTATATATTAATTTTTAAATTCAACTTGCAAATATACAAATTAACTTCTAAATATAAAAATTTGATTGTTAAACATTAATCCCTTATAATCCATTAGAAGTAAATAACATTCAAAATCTAGTTGTATCTATTTTTTTTTACTTTAATATCTGATTAATTTTTTTTCATATTTTAATTTTTACCATATAGTTTTCGACTTTTGAACCCTTTGTATGCCAAAAATATTATTATTTTTATAAGTAAAAATTTAAAAAATTGATGAAAACTAAGAATTAATATTAATAATTATTAAAATGAACTTTCTGAACTTATTTTTATTCAATGACCATTGTTTTTTTTTTTAATGGCTATCAAAAAGAACATTCTTTTCCATCTTCAAATATATGGGATAATCATTGGATTAATTTTTCTAACAAAAGAAAAATAAATTGGATGAAGAAGGTAAGAAAGGCAAAAATGAATAGCCGCATTAAGAAATCAAACTTCAATAATAAATTAATATTAATGATGATCATACTATTTTAATTTCATCGAGCAAAATAGAATATGGACAATGATTAAGAAAATTAATATTTTGAGCAGACAAAATTTCGTATTTTGGAATCATTTGTCCTTTTTGTAAAAAAAAAGAAGGAAATAATTTGTCCTTTAAATATATTCTTTTTGTCCTTTGGAATAGAATATCAAGTCAAAAGGGTAAAATTAAAAACACGGATATTTGACGTGACAGTGAGACGTGAACAATTGAACATAAATACGGTGTCTAGTTATTAACGATTGTACCCCAAAAAAAAGCGGCGTTTTCTTATTAAAATAAATAATTTTAAAAAAATAAAATCATATTTCATTTGGTCCTGAACTTATAAATATTAAAAATGTTAGTTAAATTAGTTATTTATCATAAATAAGGATTGTTTTATCTAAAATACTGTGTATGAGAATGAAAATCTTTTAACTTGTATAATCACCATAAAATTACTTTAAAAAATAAATAAAATAAATAAATAATATAGAAGACAAAATATATTAAGGTTTTAAAACAAAAATTAAATATCAAATAAACTCTTATATTTAAGATTGGATGTAGTATTTAATAATAATAGTTATTAAATATAATTATGGACATTGTTTAAAATGGGGAAAACCACTTTGAAAATACTAATACTTTCTATTGATTTCTAATTTGGTACCCATGTGTATTCTCTTAATCGAATCATTTAATTTTTTTTTCCATTTGCACAGTGTTAATACTTTATAGATAGAGCAAAGTGAATGATTTAATTAGAGAAAAAATACATAAATACTAAATTAAAAATTAAGAAAATAATTTGTTCTTTAAAATTCATATTTTTTAAAAGTATTTATACATTCATAGTTGGTTTTAATAAATGAAAACTAAAATTATCAAAATCGTCAAAATGACCTTTAAGAAATGTATCCAATAATGATCATGAAGATGACATTTATAAAAATGATGATCACATAATTACCGCTAATCCAAGCCAAAGGACTGGACTGAGCAATAATTGTTCTTGGTAAAATGATAAAATAATGAGGATGACGGTAAGGATAAGCATAAGAATAATCCAAAGAAACGGTGTCGATTGTTGACAGTTGAATTAACACGGTGTCGTGCAAGTCCTTACCCGCTGGTGCTCTTGCTTGACGGTTTCCTGTCTGTGATAGATATCTTCAGCAAAGCAACTTTCAATCCTCTCCTTTTACTTGGCTTCTCGGTAACTTCATTCCTCCTTCTTATACATATTCAAACCTTGCGTTCTTTACTCTTCTTTTGCATCCTTCTAAGACTCGTTCTCTGTTCATCGTTTCCGGATAGGTAAGCCATGGTTTGATCACACTTTTGATCAGTCTCTGCTGTTTTCGCTAAAATGGCTTATTTTGAATTTGATCTCCTATTCAGCCTTCAATTTTATTGTAAATTTGATCTTTTTC